TTGGTTTTATTAAATCATATGTGCACACAAGTGTGTGTAGGAAGATCATTTTGCTCTTCTTAACTACTCTTCAGCTGTCCTGTACTGTAGCTTCTTTCTTTACCTTCTTCATCTGTTAGCATCTGAGAAGAATGTATCCAACATTTTTCTCTGTAATGGTCAATTTTTCTATTTCTACGTATCCTGTCAGTTGCTGCTCCATCTATATATATATATATAGATGTATAAAATGATAGGCATTTGAGAATGTATTATTAGATATATGCCTCTCATAATCACATTGATCATTTTATTAGTATGTGTGTTCGATCTTGAGAAGAATCTTTTCTGATGTTATAATGGATACTTTAACTTTCTTTGTTATTTTCCATTCCTTTATTATCTACCTTTCTATGTGTGTTCTTTTAACTGTGTGTCTCATAGTTAATATTTTAAAATCAAATATGAATTTTCTATGTTTTTATTGATACATTTAAATAGAGTGTTTTGTCTGCATATAAGTACACCCATGTCATGCAGTGCCCAGGGAGGCCAAAAGAGGGTGTCAGATTCCCTGGAACTGGAGTTACAGATGGTTGTTAGCTGTCATGTGGGTGCTGGGAACTGAACTTGGGTTCTCTGTTTTTTTTTTAAAAGAAGTCATTTATTATTTTTATTTTATGTGTAAGTGTGCATTGCCTGCACATATGTATTGCCTGTATTGTGCAATGCCCATGGAGTACAGAAGGCAGCATTGGACCCCCTGGAACTGGAGGTACAGATAGTTGTTAGCTGGATGCTAGGATTCAAACCTGGGTCTTCTGCAAAAAACAGCCCGTGCTCTTAACCACTGACCCATCTCTCCAGCCCTCTCTTTATTTTCTTGTTCTCCTATTGGATGGATAGGTATTTTTTTCTCTTGCCTCATCAGCTGTACATTTAACCTCTATCCTGGTTGTCCCTACTGCATTAATACCCCTTCCTTTCTCAGCACCACTGCCTCCCACCCCGCCCATTCAGCTCATTGGGCTTCTTTCCTAGCCCTACTTACCATGCTACTGGTGCCCAGTTTCTTACTCCAGCATTGCCTTAAATGTTATTGTTATTTCATGGGCCTAGCTTTTACAAGTACGATGAGAATTATGATATTACATCCTTTAATTTCCCCATAGTATGCAATATTGACTTGCATTTCTTCTCCAGAATACTTCCTCCAGGGGGGTTTCAGTGTGGGCATTCATGTGGTAAAATTGTTTCAGAATGTGGGACTGGAGAGATGGCTCAGCAGTTAAGAGTGTATACTATTCTTTCAGAGGACAGGAGTTTGAGGAGTTTGATTCCTAACACCCATGTCAGGTGGCTCACACCTCCAGCTCCAGGGAGATCCAATGCTTCTGGCCCCTGCAGGCAACTACACTCATGTGCACATACCCACATACATTCACATGGTTTTAAAAAATAATAAAAATAAAATTTAAAAAACTTCTCAGGGAGCTGGAGAGATGGCTCAGCAGTTAAGAACACTGGTTATTCTTGCAGAAGACCCAGGTTCAAATCCCAGCACCCACATGGCAGCCAACAACTGTCCGTAACTCCAGTTCCAGTGGATCTGACAGCCTCTTCTGTCCTCCATAGGCATTGCATTGCATGGCATGGGTGCACTTACCTACACGCAGGCAATACATGCATACACATAAAGGAATAAATTTAAAAATTTTTTAAAAAGAAAACAAAACGAAACAAAACTCAGAACATTTATAGTTTGGAACATTTTATTTCATTCTGATACTTAAGTACTAGTCTCTCAGAATGTATAAATCTAAGTTTGGAAGTTTTTTTCCCTGTAACACTTTGGAAATATTAGTTCATTGTCTCCTTGAATCTAGTGTTTGAGAGAGAAGCTGATTGTGATTGGTACCTAGTTCCTTTGGAACGTGTTTATTCGTGAAAGCTTTTAACAACATTGTGGTTTTCTTTTTTATGGTTTTCCATTTTTTGCTTGGTGCTTATAAATTTCATGCCAAAAAATATGCCTTGGTCTGTTTTCTTTGGCATCATGCTTGGAGCACTGAGTGATTTTTTTTTCTGTGTTCCTCAGTCATTCTTCGATAATGCAGAATTCTCAGCGATTATTTTTCAAAGATGCCCTCATGTTGCCTACTTCAGGGGCCCCTGCTCGACAGGCACCGACCATCAGCTCTGCCTGGCACTTTGCTGTTGCCATTAGCTTCATCTTGTTTATACTTATTTAGCTTGCTTTTTCCATTTCTTCAACCTGGTTTTTTTGGCCTTCTAATTTGTTTTTAATCATATATGTTCTATTTAACCAGCCTATTAAAGCACAGAATACAGATGAAAAATATTGCCTTCTGTTTTTCTGAAGTTTTTAATCTATAGAATAGGGATATTAACACAAATTTATAGAATAATGCTGTTTATTGTGAGCAAGGGCTGCTTTTATCTGTCTGAGTGTATATTTTTATGCCATTATTTTCCCCTGGATCTTCTTTATAACTGAGTGTCCTTACTCATAACTAATATAAATATATCATCTTTTTTTTTTAGGCTATCTATTTGTCTTCCCTGGAGAGCTGTCATGCCTAGTTGGCATTTTTACTGTTTCCTGCTTCTGCTTTCTGTCTTACATGTGCTCTAGCCTGTTGCCTTTGAGTGGCTCCACTTTCCAGATGTCTAGCTATTGTTTTCATTGAATACATAGTTCCCAGGGGGCGAGTGTCAACTCCTTGGTGTGTCAGTGTTTAGAGGTTAGTGAAAGAACTGACATGATAGCTCAATAGTAGAGCTCAAGACCCTGGATTCATCCTTCCCTGCTTCATAAACATTTGGTAAGGGAAGGGATGGACAGACTAGAGGGAAAGCCTGGTCATAGGTTAGGGTTTAAGGAAGACAAGTAAGGAGAGTCTGCCCTCAGCTTCCAGGCTTTTCCCTCACGACAGGCACCCTGCTTGAGAGTGCCTCTGCATCTGGTACCCAGCCCTGTGTTTCTAGGCTCCTTTCCTCACTGTGGCCCCTCTGCCCTGGCTGTGGCTGTAGAACTGAGCTGAGAAGGCTGCCAGATGGAAGGAGATGGTCAGTGACCATTGCTGTCAGTGCCCACAACAACATTATCTGGTCCCCGCTCTCCACCATGGGCTTGCGTGCTACCTGATGCTAAATTTTGGTCTGTGGCATCAGTGGGCCCATGCTGCCCTTTGTCTGCCTTGCTTTGCTGACAGGAAAGCCAGGCTCCTCTGAAAGCAAAGTAGAGGAAGCAGTGCTGTGTCACAGTGCCAGAGCCCCACTGTGGTCCCTTGTGAGACGAGGCCCCCGCTCTCTGTGCAGGTCTGCCCACACACCTATCTCCACAGGGTTTCACACTGGCTTTATGTCTGTTTCCTGGAAATATATTCCTCTTCCTCTCAATTTTATAGAACCTAGTTGGGAAAGGCACCTAATTGTCCTTGTCAGTTCTCTCTTTTCTCATCATCAGATGTTTATCGTTTTTCTTTTGTTTTATATTGATATCCACATATATCAGGCTGCATTTTTGCCTATGTGTGTGGTACTTGTATGTGTATGTATGTGTGTGTGGACACATGTGTGAGGGTGCACATGCTTATGTGTCTGAAAGTCTGAGGTTGATTTCAGGTGTCTTCCTTGATTGCTACCTATCTTATATATTGAAGAACTGTGTCTCACTTGTCGACCTCTCTGATACGGCTGTTCTGACAAGCCACCTTGCCTGGGAACCTCTTGTTTCCATCTCTCAGTGTTGGGGGGCAGGCCGGCATGCCCTTCTGACTTTATCTTATTTCATTTTAGATTTTTTTTCATTTTTTGATCATGAAACTTTATTGATTGCTACCTATCTTATATATTGAAGAACTGTGTCTCACTTGTCGACCTCTCTGATACGGCTGTTCTGACAAGCCAGCTTGCCTGGGAACCTCTTGTTTCCATCTCTCAGTGTGGGGGGCAGGCCGGCATGCCCTTCTGACTTTATCTTATTTCATTTTAGAATTTTTTTCATTTTTTGATCATGAAACTTTAATTTTATTACATACACACACACACACACACACACACACACACACACACACACAGAGAGTGTGTGTAGGCACTCACACAACACACT